TTCAAAATGGCTACCACTTTCTGAGTACTCACTAGGGGCCTAGGACTAAGCAAAATTTTTTGCATTTATTATCCCATTTAATGGTCATCTCCTCTAGACTCCACTAAGTTCTATGGTACAAGATGAACACAACCAGAGAGCTCAGGAAATGAGAATCGAAGCCAGATTCAAAGTCTAAAGCCTATGTTTACAATCATTATCCAACCCAAGAGCAGAAGGCATAAATGACCACCACAAATAAATAATAGGAAAGGGAATGACTACAGAAATAGTGGAAGCAAGTTAACCTTCATGGCCGTAAGTATATAGTATTTTATTCATATATATAACACTTTCTTTTGACTAATAATGCCCTCTCTTACTTTAGCATTTAAAGAAAAACACAATTAAGTCCTGCCAGACTCTTTCCTATTGAAAAAATCAACACAGGTATCCAACTATGAAGGTGTTCTAAAGGCAGCAAAATGAGACAACCAAAGTTGTAACTTTCATCCATGAAGTCCCTGTGGTAACTGTGAAGGTCTCAAAACGAAAGGAGTAGGGTGAAGTACTTTTAGGGGTGACAGACTATAAAGCACATGTGCAAGATTTTAATTTTTAAATTGAGATTGTAAGTGAAGAGAAGATGTTAAATGTAATGTTGCCCACAGAATCTTGCGGGCTGGTGGGCGGCTATTGTTTCTTCCTGCCGAGCATCCATGTCCTCCACTCTGCCAAATACACCATCATTTTCCAATTTCCTCTAAATATCTACATTTGGGGACCACTCAATCCTAACTCATTTTTGAAAATCTTTTTCTTAAAAAAAATGTTTTAAGTGTTAATATTTTCCTCATATCAATTTGGAAATAATGTACTTATCATATACCATGACTATACATGTTTCCTCAGATGTTTATTAATAGTTGCCCAAATCTGGCTTATAAGTCCTTCTTGTGGGCCAAAGAGGGGCTAAGAGTTTTATATAGGAAACTTTTAGACAGCCTCCCAACAACTCTACTAGTTAAGCATATCCAGACAAGTAACTGAAGAGTCAAGCAGGTTAAGCAGCTAGAGTGAATAAAGGAAACCAAATTTGAATTTCAAGTCTATTTTGACTCAAACTGTGTTTTTCCAATCATGTTCTACAGTCCTGCCAAAGCACAAACACATTTTCTTATAATGATTCCCTTTCAGTCAAATTTCAAATTTTCTGGAGAGAAGACAGTAGAGCTGAAAGACCCATTTATTCCAAGGACTGGTGTCAAGATCAAATCTTTGCTTATCCACTATCAAGCTATCTTTTTAATATAATTTTTAAAAAACACAGCCACAGGGCATGTATGACTAGTATGTCAGGCCAGCTTGGCTTATCAACTGATAGGCAGCTCGCTCGCGCGCGCTCGCTCGCTCTCGCGCGCTCGCTCGCTCTCGCGCTCTCTCTCTCTCTCCCCCCCCCGTCTCTCTCTCTCTCCTTCTCTGTCTCTGTCTGTCTGTCTCTCTCTCTCTCTCTCTCTCTCTCTCTCTCTCTCTCTCTCCCAGCAGTGTCTTACTCTGTTGCCCAGGCTCAGACAATTCTCCTACCTCAGCCTCCCAAGTGGCTGGGATTACATGCACACGCCACCAGGCCCAGATATTTTTTTTTTTTTTTTCACTAGAGATGGAGGTTCACCATGCTGGCCAGGCTGCTCTAGAACTCCTGACCTCAAGTGATCCACCGACCTCGGACTCCCAAGGTGCTAAGATTACAGGCGTGAGCCACCACGCCCAGCCTTAAGATAATTTTAAAAGGCAGCTAAGGAGCACATAGATCTACTTTTCAAAAATGTTTTTTCTCTTTAAAATGGTCATTCTGTGGTGGCTCTGTAATCTCAGCACTTTGCGAGGCTATGGAAGATCACTTTAGCACAGGAAGTCAAAGATGCAATGAGCCATGTTCATGCCACTGCATTACAGCTTGGGCAACAAAGGGACACCCTGCTTCAGAAAAAAAAAGAAAAGAAAAAGAAAGAAAGAACAAACAAAAAAGATCATTCTAACTCCCATTTTATTCAATAAAAAGATGTGTCTCTAATTTTTTTAAGTCCTGGATCTCTTTTCTAAAACAACTACAGATTGTCTTCCAGAAAAATACACATAAACCAAAAAGTTTTGGTCACAACTACAGGGGGTTCAGGAATCCCTTGAAACCAACTCTTGGAGGGTCGCAGGCCCCCAGGATAGCCCTTGCTCTAAAAGCATATCACAAAAATCCTTACGTTATTTCACAGGCCCAGAATAAAGACCATATAGCTAGCTCTCTCATTATTTTTTATATTTTCAGAAGGCAAATATCAAACAAACAAATTCTCTTAACTAGTCTTTCATATTCTCAAAAAACAAAAACAAAAAACAAATCTTATGACTCGAGTAAATCAATAAACATAAGGTCATACAAGTTCAAAGTCCAAATCAATTTTCTTAAAATCTGATATTTCCATTTCTGTGTTTCTGCCCATAAAGATCTCCCTAGAAAAGAAGAAACACTAGTATGGCGTAGGGCTTGAGTCTTTTCTACTTGAACATTCATAAACAGGTTAATATTTAAAAAGAAGACCACTTCTAAAGTTTGTAGTACAAAACGTTCTCTCATATATATGAGATATACAGTATGATGAAAAGACAATTCTTAAATGTTTAACGAATGGATCTGTGTCAATTCAATTGCAAATTAAATCATGGAGGTGACAAAGCAGATTTTAGAGTTCATAATAGCTCAGATTATGTGTTTTCCACCACTTGAGTCAACAACTTTCAGGCTGGGAACAGTGGCTCCAGCCTGTAATCCCAGCACTTTGGGAGGCTGAGGGTGGAGGATGGCTTGAGCCCAGGGGTTCAAGACCAGCCTGGGCAGCATAGTGAGATCATGTCTCTACAAACATAAAAATAAAAAACTTAATCAGGCATGGCAGCACATGCTTGTAGTCCCAACTAGTTGGTAGGCTGAGGTGGGAGGATCACTTCAGCTCAGGAGTTCCAGGCTGCGGTGAGCCCCAATGATCATGCCACTGCACTCCAGCCTAGGCAACAGAGGAAGATCCTGTCTCAAAAATATAAAATAAAAAAACTTATGGGAATGTTTACTTTCAGGTACAGCTCAAACTTTAGTCTTTCAAATTCCTCTTGGTCTTATTACTTTAGAAAATTTCTACCATCATGCAACAAAATTGTTTGAACAGCACTCCATCTATGAATAACAGAATATCTCTCCAAATTCAAGTTACAGGGAGCAGTAATACTTTCCCATGAAAAAATTAAAAATTATTTTAAATCTCTAGATACTGTTTCAAAATCAGTATTATAAGATTAAGAAACACTTAAAAAGAACATTTAATCGTATGACAATCACTTTCTATGTAATAACTATCCCCACCAAAATGCCACATGGTATTGTGAACCCCCATCAATTCACAATTGCAGCTTACAATTTTAGTACTTAAGATTTACAACAATTTTTCTCTTAGAGTGCCCTGTCTCCTAAAATGAAGGAATTGAGCAGGGTCTGACGTCCACCTACAGCCAGCCTTTAGGTCATTATTTTTTTCGGTCAGGGAAACTTCACACTCCAGGGGAACGCAAGCTACACATCAGAATCTTCACGTAAAGTCATTTCTGCCTTTGTGACAAAAGTCAAAATCTTGAGCACTAATTCTTGAGAACACTGTAATAGTATTATTGAAGTTACTGGACTCGCATCTGTCATTTCTAGCTAGCGGTTAAACACACGTCACTTTAATACATTTGCATCTGCAACTCTTCCTCTTTGAAAGAACTGGGGAAAACAGAGAGAATGTACCTAAATTTAGTAAGGAAAGTGAAACAACCAATTTTATCCTACACAACTTCTTCAACCCGGATATGAAGATCCAAGATCTACTTGGGGGACAGGAAAATTGGAAAACAATGAATAAAATAACAAACCTGGGTTCAAGACTTGATCCTGGTTGCTAACCGTATCTATCCCACCGGAGGTCAAATCAACTGTATTGGTGCTTGTTTCCTCATCCACCTCTCACCACCTAAACGTTGCCATTTACAAGAGAGCTATCGAAGCTGAATCAAACTGACTTTTGGAAAGAGATGCCAACATAATTTGCAGGGTGCTCCAGACAACTACACACAAGGCAGTGTATCTCATTAAGCACCCCGCCCCCACTTTCAACTTCCCCTTAAGATAGGGACAGTTGCATAGACATTTTTTGAAAATCAAAGAGAAAAATAAATAAAAGCACCCCATCATGATCACCGACGAGATCCCGACTCTGGGGGGAACTGGGTGCCGGGTGAGGACGACGGGCACACGCTCCCGGTCGCTCCGCGAACTCCTCCCGGAGGTCGCCAAGTTTCTCTTTCACCCTTTCTCCCGCACCCGCAGAGCCCAGGAAGGAAGGGGGCAGCCGCAGGGGCCGGAACCGCGCGACCTGGAACCCGGGGCCTTTTTTGATTGCCGGCCGCGCCCCGCGCAAGTGCCGGCGTTCGAGACCCGCCCCGGCGCGCCCGGGCGCCAACTTCGCGGGGACCCCCAGCGACGCGCCCCCTCGGTCCCCCTAGTCCCGTGTCTCCCGGCTCAGCCGGATCCCGGCGTCCCCGTCACCCTCCCCACCCCCCAGCGGAGCGAGCCCACCCCTAGCGGCGTCAGCCTGGATGGGACGGCGGGGCCGCAGTCACCTTCCCGAGGAGGGGGCGGGGGCCCCGACTCTGGGCGGCCTGCAGCCCCCGCAGCCCTGGCGGCGTCCAGGCGAGCTCACCTGGCGGCTGGCGGCGGCCTCTGGGGCGGCCTCTGGGCGTGGGCCGGGCGGGGGCGGCAAGGGGGGCGGCGGGGGCCCGGACTGCAGCCGGGGCCGCCGCCGGCCGCCTAGCCTCGCCCCGACTCGCGCTGGCCGCGGCCGCCCCCGGGAAGTACCGGGAGCGCGGGGAGCGCGGGTCCCGCGGCGGCGGCGGCGGCGGCGGCGGCGGCGCGGCGCGGCGCGGCGCGGCTCAGGCGTCGGAGCGGGCGGCCGCGGGCGCCGCCGCCTCCTCCTCCATGGCTGTTTACCCGGCTGCATTGTGGGAGTTTGACCTCCGCCGCCGCCAACCGCCGCCTCAGCTTGCGCCGCCGCCGCCGCCGCCGCCGCCGCGCACGCCATGGGAGCCGTGACTGACGGTGAGGCCCCGCTCGCCGCCACCCGCGTCCGCTGCACGGCCCGCTCGGCCTCCCCCGAGACCCCTGGCCTCCCAGGCCGCTTCCGGGAGCCCCTCGGTCTCCCGGGCTTCCTCGCCCGAGCGCTTCGGCCTTCCCGACCTCTCCCCGGAGCCCCGGGCCTCCCCGGCCGCTTTCCCCGAGTCCTTCTTCCTCTTGTAGGAGCCCGAGCGCCCCTCGGGGCCCCTCGACGTCCCCCGCCCGCTCCCCCGGAGTCGGCGCCCCGCTGTAGGGTGTGCCGGCAGCGTGGTCGGAGGGCTGGCAACACACGTGGGTGGCCGAGACCGCTAGAAGCGATGTAAGGGCGGGTGGGACCGGAGGGAACCCGGGTTTGTGTAGGGATGCGGTGAGGGCCCGGGAGCCGCGAAGGGTGGGCGGTGGTGCCCGGCTTGCGGCTGGGGGCTCGGAAGGTTTGCGGAGGGCTGGGAGGGAGTTTCAGGACTCGAGTACAAGGGTTGTCAGTATACAGAGCGTGACACCTGGAGGGCTCCTGGGGCACAGTGGGAAGGGCTCACAGACAATGGAGGAAATTGCGATGAGGCCTTGAACTGCGAGTGGATTGTGGGTGAGGAGAAGGAGCGAGGAATTATTTACAAAAGGAATAGATCCGAGGGTAATCCGGAAGTGTACCTGGGAGATGTACTGGGAGTAAAGAGGAGCCTGTATAGGGATGAGACCATCTAGGACGATAAACGGTAGGGGACCGTGGCTGGGTGGGTGGGTGTGTGTTGGGGAGGTTGATTTGTCAGATGGAATGGGTTTAGAGGAGCAAAGGCTGGGTTTGTGGACAGCCCTCTAAGGGAGATGGTCTATGGACTGAGAGCAGAAATAAAGTGACACTTTGGAGAAGGGGAAAAGGGCATGTTTGGCAACTGGAGGGAGAACCAACAAGGTGTCTGGTTAGGGAGGTCCTCTGATATCTGGAAAGGGAAGATCTAGGGCTCTTGGGTGTTTTTGAGGAGAAGGTAACCAGTAACTGTAAATGCCTGTGGAGAGGCCACTTCTGAAGAGTTGAAGACCACTTGGGTGCCCACATTAAAGGGCCTAGCCATGGGAAGAACAGTGATAGGCCCAAATATGCAGACTAATAAAGAGTGGTGTAGGTGGGAGGCTACTAAAGACCCAGGAACTTCACGTGAACTTTCAGCTTTGCTTCATTCCAGTTTCATTTATTTAGTAGATATTTATCCTTGTAGGACTAGGCTTTGGGGTTACAACCCAGAACCAACGAGCAAGAGCTTTTCCCTCTCTCACATTTCAGTCTGGTGGGAAAGAAACATTGCCTAATTAATTTTAAGAGTGACAAATATTACCACAAGGAAGTGCAAGGTTGGGAACTGTAGGAACATGTAACAAAGGTTGTTTATCCAATCAATGGAGATGAGAAAGCCTCCCCAAAAAAGTTAATCTCATTTTTGAAGAATAAGTAGATGTTGGACTGGTGTTTGGGGTTGGGAGCCACTTGGACAAAGGCCCCAAGATGTTGGAAGAACACAAAGCTGACAGGTATTGCTAGAATTTAGAAAGTTATGAGCCAGAGATTTCTAAGGGCAATGGGAAGCCATTAAAAGTTTTTAACATTGGTGTGGGTGGTGTTAATCAGATTAGCATTAAAACACACACACATGGCCGGGCACAGTGGCTCAAGTCTGTAATCCCGGCACTTTGGGAGGCCAAGACAGGCGGATCTCTTGAGCTCAGGAGTTCAGGACCAGCCTGGGCAACATAGAGAGACCCCCCCATGTCTACAAATACAAAAAAAAAAAAAAAAAAAAAGTGGGTCTGGCACAGTGGCACACACCTGTAGTCCCAGGACTTGGGAGGCTGAGGAAAGAGGATCACTTGAGCCTGGGCGGTCTACGCTGCAGTGAGCCAAGGTCGTGCCATTGCACTCCAGTCTGGGTGACAGAGTGAGACCCTGTCTCAAGTAAAACAAACAAAAGCGTGCATACACCCTGTCTCTGCTATGTGTAGAATGATGAGAGGAAGAGAAAATGAGGAGCTAAGTTTCCTCCCCACTTACATTTTCATAGTGCTGTCAGGTAGTGTTCTAATTGTTATCCGCATTTTACAGATGAAACCGAGACATAGGTTAGCTTGCCCAAGGTCACACAGGTAGTAAGTTATAGAGGGTCAAAGGCAGGGAGTCCACCTGCATAGTTCCTGCTTTTCCGTGTTACGCATCCTGTGTCTGCTAGTTCTGCAGTGGCCCTGGTGAGTGACAATAAGGACTCTGACCTAGAAGGAATGCAGAGAAGTGGACAGGTGGGAGGGAAATGTGTGTGCAGTAGAATGTCAGGACTTCAGGTATTGAATGGATGGGGAAAGAGGAGGAGTTTAGGATGATCCCAGGTTTTTGGCTTCACTGTGTGCCTGTTAGTGCTACTTTTCTACTTATTGAGAGAGAGAGAGATGTCCAAAGGAGCCATAGGCTTTGTCACATGGGAGATAGGGATAGAAGATGAGTTCTAAAGTACTGAGTGCAGCCAAGTGTCCCCCGCCCCCACGTCCTTAGAGGCCCCAGGAGTCTCAATCCTGCCACTCACAGACTGTCTCAGTTTCTGTCTCTGAATGGAGATAATAAAATCCATGTCAGAGGATTGTTTTGAGGATTAAAGACACAAAAATTGTAAAGGGCTTTGCATTGAGTCTAACACATAAAAATTAACGTTCAGTACATATTATTAAATGTCAGAGTTGTTACTAATCTGTCTTCCACTTTCCTTTGATGTGAACTGTGCTTTCTCTCTTAATCTGCACTGGTTCCCTTTTCTTGCCTTTTCAGGTGACAGCTCACTTACTCCTCAAGACCCCCCTCAAAAATCCCCTCTTCTCTTTCCTAGAAGTAGTTGACCCCTCTGCCTATTAGCCATATTATTTTATGCCTAGTTAGTGCTGCTGTTGCCCTCAATACATTATTTATATGCCTTATGCTAGAAAACATTTAAGGCAGTTCACCATAATGAGAAAACATAAAAATTAAACGAATTAGTAAACAAGACATAAAGAACATTGAGATTAGGAAAAATAAAGCGAATTCAGAAGTGGGGTGATCCTCAAAATGCAAGAATATAAAGTCTAATACCTAAATTCACCAGCAAGTGACCTAATTCTCCAGTAGGTCATGCCGAGAGGCAGGACCTGGTCTACTCTGATCTAGTGTTCATGAGAGAAGGCATCATCCTTAGATGCCCAGGAAAAGAAGGTTTTTTTTTTTTTTTTTTTTTTTTTGAGACGGAGTTTCACTCTTGTTACCCAGGCTGGAGTGCAATGGCGCGATCTCGGATCACCGCAACCTCCGCCCCCTGGGTTCAGGCAATTCTCCTGTCTCAGCCTCCTGAGTAGCTGGGATTACAGGCACGAGCCACCATGCCCAGCTAATTTTTTTTTTTTTTGTATTTTTAGTAGAGACAGGGTTTCACCATGTTGATCAGGATGGTCTTGATCTCTTGACCTCGTGATCCACCCGCCTCGGCCTCCCAAAGTGCTGGGATTACAGGCTTGAGCCACCGCGCCCGGCCTTTTTTTTTTTTTTTTTTCTGATTTTAACTAGAGGAAAAGTTTATCATTGAGGTCCTTATGATGAAAGCCAGTGTCATATTCTTAACCTCTTTTCAGCACTGAAGATCATAGAGCTGTTTTGTAGCACATCTCTTGCTAGGTAAAAGAAAAATAAATCACAATTTAGAAAGACATTCTAAAGCCAATAGAGGCTGGGTGTGGTAGCTCCCACCTGTAATCAATCTTAGCACTTTGAGAGGCTAAGGCTGGAAGACCGCATGAGCACAGGAGTTTGTGACCAGCCTAAGCAACGTAGCGAGACCTCATCTCTACTAAAAAATTATTTAAATTAGCCAGGTGTGTGGTGGTGTGCACCTATACGTCTCAGCTACTCACCTCTACTAAAAATTTTGTTTAATTAGCCACGTGGAGTGGCACACACCTGTAGGTAGCCCCAGCTACTCAGGAAGCTGAGAAGGGAGTATCACTTGAGCCCAGGAGTTTGAGGTTGCAATGAGCCATGATTATACCACTGCACTCCAGCCTGTCAACAGAGCTAGACCCTGTCTCGAAATAAAACCAATGGACAGTGTGGCTTAGGTAGGTAGTGGGTAACTCTGCTGATCTGGCATAATTCAAGGTTTTCTGGTTAAGAATATCTAGACCGTAAAGACAAAGTACAACTTCTTTCAGACCATCCTCTATAAACGTGGTTTTCGTCAGCTGAGATCAAGCTGAAATGGGTAGTATGTGTGATGAGTCAACAAGTATTTATTGCATACTTTCTAGGCAGGATCCGAGGTCCTGGCTACTTTGCAATAAACTAGACAGAGGAGGGCCCTGGCCCCTGCTTCAGGGAAAGAAGCCATAGTGTACGATCAAATAAGTAAATAAGATAATTTCTGAAAAGGAATGTAATTAAGCTCTGAGAATGAACTTGATGGAATGAGGACAGAGAGTAATGGGGGAGGGCAGTGAGACCTGACAAGTTCAACCACATCAAGAGCCCACGAAAGTATTCCAGATATGGACAACAACTAGTGCAAAGGCCTGAGGTAAAAACAAGCTCTGTGCCCTTTAGGAGAAGATAAGGAAAGCCAGTGGGCTGGATCTAGGGACAGGACTGCATCCAGGTGGGCCAAGAGGAGTGTGATGCAAAAGGAGGTAAAAGGGAGCTCGAGGAGCATTGCAGGCTTTGGAAAGGAGACTGAATTGTCCCTGTGGGCATTTAGAAAAATTGGAGGATTGTAAGCTGGAGAGTTAGTGATCCAATTAATCTTTCAGATCATTCTGAGTTGCATAAAAAAATGGATTCTAGAAAGGCAAAAATGAAAACAGAGAGCTCAATGCAAAGTATTCTAGATAAGAGAAGTATGGGCTTAGATTAGGGCAATGTTACTGTAGAAGATAGAAGTGGATGCTCTTGATACCTCATTCATCCTCCCGGAAAGCTCTTGGAGGAG